TATTTTTTTTTGTTAAAATAGTGAACCAATGGACCAGTTAAACCGTGTCGGTTCATCTGATTTTATGTTGAACCGTGAAAAACCGTTTGGTCCATCAATAATCGTTCAAACAATGAACCGGACCGCTATCGTAACTGGTTTGACAATTCTGCTGGCCCGGCCGTTGATCCATTTCGGTTCTTAGAACAAGGCTCATTTCTTTCTTTGTTTTCCCGCCTGTAATGGATATTGGTCAGTGATAGATTGTTTTTTATGTACTGATATTAATATGTGATGATAGGATATAATAATGTTCATGCGATGGATATTAGTTTGTGAAGTAATGGATATTGTGTCTTCCATCAAAATTAAACACACTATCAAATCCTAACATATAAGGCTTGCAACCTTAGTTAAGGTTGCCCGTTGAGGGCCCATTGGCCTTTGGCCTATGAAACAACAATATTTGTTTGCAATGAATGGATATTAGTTAGGTGGTTCGGATATGTGTAGTTGGTATTAGTCTGCGATGGACAAATATTAATCTGTGTGGTGGGTATCAGTTTGCGATGGTCAGATATTAATCTGTTCGTCGTGGGTATTTGTCTACGGTTGTCAGATATTAGTCTGTATGAGGTGGGTATTAGTCTCTATGGTGAGGATATTAATTATGGGGCTGACTAGATATTGGTATTAGATGATATTTGTTATGGTGAACGAATATTATTCTGGGCGGTTTGGATATTTATTTTGTGTGGATGTGTTATTCTGACGAAGTGATGGAAAGAGAGGAGGAGAATCACATATGATTTTTTTTTTTAAAATTTGTGAGCCCCCTTTTCTCTGTAGCTGGATAGTGAGAATGAACCAGCCTTTTTTTTAATTTGTGGACCCCCTTTTCTCTGTCCCTGTGAGTATATACTCACAACTTACCTTGTGAGTAGGATAACTAGATTGTAGAGACGAATGATGGATGTTTTGAAGTCATCTGGGAAATTTCTTAATTTTATTTACTCTTAATATTATTTATCTAGATTTAATTTATTTATTTTCTGAAAGAAAACTTTATTTTATAAAATTATGTAATATCCATGTGGCATAGTCAAACGTTTGACATCTTGCCACATCAGCAAAAAATCATCAAGCTCATTTAAAATTCCGCCACGTCATAGTCAACTAATCGTTGACCGAACGGAAAGTTAACGGTTTGGCTATTAAATTATTTTTAAAAAACTTTGGCTATTATTTTTTTTAAAATAAAAGATTTGACTATTATTTTATATTTAACCAAATAATAATTACAAAATAGATTATATTCAAAGGGGTAAATTGGGAGATAGACACTAGCTAGATAAGAGACATGCTAATGTCACCGAGTGAACCATCAGTCAGAATCAAAGTCTGGATTCATTGATCTTTGACACAATTCATAATTTTGCTGATGTGATAATTAAGTTGCACAGACTAATCTACTTTTCTTTGATGGAAAGCATAAGCAGCTAGATTATGAAGAGTTGTTTAATTGGTGAGCCATACGTCTCACTTCTAATCATAATCAGTAATTTGTAAAATTATTTCAAAATAAATAGTATTAAATTACCAATTTAATAAATAAGTACAGATATTAAACATGTTATATATGTGTTAACTATGGAAGCCATAAAATGTATCGTTTGAAAATAATACAAAAAATATAAATATTTAAAAGTATAAAATAAGTATTGTCATATATATGTATTAAAGGGAACATTTATTAACTAGACTTCTAATAAGAGTCGTAATTAGAAGAGAACAACATTTCAAAAGTAGATAATTCTGTATCCCGCTTCATTATGTCTATTTACTCTTCAACATGGAGATACCCTTATAAAACAGAAGACTTTGGAAGATGGAATCTACCTTAATACTTTTCTTATTTAAACGTCATCATCTTTAGAATTTTATCAAGACAAAGTACGCAGTTGCTAGTATGATACTATGATTTCATCTGACGACAACTATGTATAGTGACCCTTGTAGGAAATGGTGAGTGATTTGAAGAGACTATGAACTTTTGGAGTGTGATGTGGGTAATTACTAATAAGGAAAACTATTGATCGAGGAAGCTTCAATTCAAGTCCAGCCATATCATATTATCATGTAGATGATTATTACTTGTTTCCGTGGGAATGGGATCAGAGTCAGACTAGAAAGAAAGACTGCCGCTAATCGCGCTTCCCCCTCTGTAATGGATTAGTTAGTTGGTTCTTGATTAACTTATTATTACGCCCCTCTAACGCGGTTACGTTTCGCAATCACTGATAATTAGAGGATCAATTTTGAATAATCATCGTCCTGACAATAATAAGAGGATCGATTGTTGTCAGAATTTCGCGTCCTCCAGTAGGTGAGCAATTTTGAAGTATTCTAGCTAGATTCCAATTAGCATCATCCTGATAATCGGAGGAGAATCAAGTCAACTGCGCTGTAAAATTCAATTGGATTGGCTATTTGCCAATTTCCAATTGGCATGTGATGGAGGAGGCTGGATAAACTTGCATTTTTTCCCCCACATACAAAAATAAAATTGGGCTGGATAAATTGGAACAAAAGTGGGAATCGAATCAATGGACGAGTTATGATTGGTAGTGGGAAAGAAATTTGCTGGTGCTGGGTGGCGAATGTATGGCACCGATTATGAGAGAAAATTCCAGACGAGACCGGATATAAGGTTTAGGAATGGCCGTTCAACTAAAATTTACGAGTATCCAACTCGATCCAACACAGTCAGAGTGAGTACTGAGTAGAATCCAAACATTGAAGGATTTTGGTTCTAAAAAAAGAAGAATTTTGTTCGGGTGCGAGGTTTAACCGCATTGAAATTGGTGGGTTGGGTTGGGTTGGGTTGGGTATCGATCTTCCGGTGGCACCGGTACGCACGGATTGGTTACGTTGTTGTTCAATTTGGCTCTGATGTACGTACGTACGTAGAGATATACAAACAGTTGCATGGTGCTCTCTTCTCGTCCATGGAGGTTGCTATATATACTGGTTTGGTTACTAAGGCTCGATGATGATCACTGGCTACTAGTTTGGAAGCAAGTGATGGAGCTTAATTAATAATTAGTTTCGACTTAACTAGCTTGGTCGGAGTTAATGAACGACATTAATTATATGCGCTGTTTTCTTGTCTTTCGGAGCTTGCTTCTTGTCTATTGTGCTTTCTGGTGATGGGGTTGTCGATTTGGTTTTGTTGTCTATTTTTAAGCCTTCCCTTCTCAACTCCATTCCACAGGTGGGATACATCTCATATGAACTGGTTTTTATCCCTTTCCCGTCTCGCTCTTTTGGCCTCTACTTGCTCCTCCTTCCCCTTTTGTTTGCATTGCAAGTTTGCAACCACAGTTTGTTATCCCTCTATATTATTCGTACGTATTTATTTATTTTTATATAAAAGGGCAGTCTTTACTTAAAAATGTCTCTGGTTTATTATATATGTTCAATTTTTTTTTTTTTTTAAAAAAAACTATACAATTTCGTTGGTTTTTTACAACTTTGCTATCTGGCTCCCAAGTTGCAAGAACAGCTTGCCATGTCTGTCGCCTTCGTTTTTCTCACTCACGATCGAAACCATTCACTAGAGTTGAGGTGATCGAGTTCATGCATACTCTCTATAACCAATCTACTAAATGAGGTTCAGTACACACAAATTAAATCCCTCAATTTTAAACAGATTCATTACTGATAAACATCAACCAACGTTGTCTCATCCAATTTCATCCACATCGCGTACATTGTCACTCAGGGAACTATTTCACCGTCGATCACATTGTGCACCATACTTATAGTACTTCTTCCTTAAGGCTACGTATTATCGATAAACTTGTTGGTTCTAACTCTTACCTATGACAACTCATCCAACAAGTTCAATCATCCGATACTACCTATAGTTATTGCATTACTATTTAAAAACAGTCACTACACACTTGATATTTATGTACAAAATGCACGTATATATAATCGGGCGAGTTTGGGTTGGATAGTGAAAAAACCATATTCATCCATCACCTGTTATATTTGGATACGAATCTTATTGATATCCATTAAACTTTTATCGAATTTGAGTTTTACCCTATCTAATTAAGTGAAATTCGGTCAGGTATCCACTGTTTTTTTTGTTTGTCATCTGACATGTAAGCAAGGTTTCGACCGTTATGTTTATTCATTGGGTTCACAAAAACGGTACTAATCAAGTGATGGATCATTAATCAATTCATTATTGTAGGCAGTATGAGATCTTTGAATGGCTCCATAAAATGAACAAACCCATTCTTGGATTGGCTGGAAAGGGGTACAACAAGTAACCAGAGGGAAGTGGACAAAAGTTCTTATTTAGTATTTATTTATTTACTCCTTTTGCTAATACAAAACCAAATGTAGTGATTACATTATTATAATTAACCTAACAAAGCCGATGTGGCCTCAATTTTTTCCTTTAAAAAATGATTCATTCCTTTAAAACCTGATTTTATATATCAGTCGCTGAATTGAGAAGAAATCACAATTTTGATTGGAGGACATTTATTTTTAGGAAATTTTGTTATATATATCCTGCACTTCACTACAACTGTATTTGCCCAATTTTATTTATTATTTGGGAATCTATCTATGATTAATAAAAAAAAGTTCCTGAATTTTAGCTAGAAAAAGAAGATAATTCGACATTTAGAAAATAATGTGAATGACTATTCAACTTGTACTGGGATTAATACTTAATAGTTTCCCTCTACAACTCCCAAATTTTTTATTTATCTCTAAGTTAAATTGAAACCTCCTCCGATTAATCCCACTGTGAATTTGCATTTTAATTCTTCACATAAACATACTCCGCCGCTGACCTAAATCCGATAATGCCAGTCAGAGACATGATAAATCCCCGCTGTATTAGTAACCGTGGTCGTATATACAATATGCGTAAAAAAATAAGAACACGCCGGCCGGAGCGGGACTCGGCGCCGCTTCAGGCTGCCGGCGAACAAAAACCGCGGGCCACCCGTGTAGGTCCCACCATTTATGTCGCCACCGCATTCAGCAGACAGCCCGCTCCACTTACACGCCGTCGCTTACACAAAAACTCGTTTCTGTCTCCGGTAAAAGCTATTTAAAAAAAATAATAGCAATTATTTAATATTAACTAGTTTTTATAATCCTAATTAGTAACAGTTGTTATTTGTTAGTTGTTACCTCCAAGCAGAATTGCGAGCTAGCTGGTGTTGCCGCTTTCATCATCTTCTTCTTCTTCTTCCACTTTTTCTCCCCTCCCCGCTCCCCACCCATGTGCAGAAAGGGGGAAAAGCAGACTGCAAAAAAATATCAGAGAGAAAAAGCGCCATTCCCATTCCTCCATATCTCAATAAACTCACAGCCCAACAACAACATTCCCACTAATAAAGTCTCTCCCTATTCCCCCCTCTACTGTTAATCGATTACCCACTCGAATCAGGAGTTTTTAAAGGACCCCGCCGGCGCAATGTCAGCTCCGGCGCCTACCTCCCCGCCGTCCACCAACTCCACCGCGCCACCTCCGGCCACTCCCTCAGCACCTCCTCCGGCGACTCCCTCCGCGCCTCCACCTTCCCCTCCCGCCGCCGCTCCTCCTCCGGCGACTCCTTCCGCGCCTCCCCCGGCGACTCCTTCCACCCCTCCACCGGCGCCCGCCACTCCTTCAGCTCCGGCACCTGCTTCCCCATCCCCGCCGACCACTCCTTCACCTTCGCCGCCATCTCCTCCTTCTTCCCTCACTCCTTCGCCGCCCTCCTCCACGACCCCGCCGTCCACCCCTTCCACGCCGTCTACCCCGGGGACCCGAACGCCTCCCTCCTCCCGCTCGCCGCCGAACTCGTCCTCGTCTGACGGGGGGTCCTCGATTTCGACCGGAACCGTTGTCGGGATTGCAATTGGAGGAGCGGTGATTCTAGTGCTTATTAGCTTGGTGTGCATTCTCTGTAGAAAGAGGAAGAGAAGAGGCGACAATGAAGCCGGTTACTACGCTCCTCCACCGCCGCCTTCTTCTGCTCCTAAAGGTTCGAATTTCCCCTTTCTTCTTCTTCCTCTTCCCCCTTTAAATTCCAAACTGGAATTGGAGAATTTTCTAAACCAAAATTTCCCCTCTCTGGGTTTGACTTGGGTCAAAATTACTCAGATCTGCTCCCTCTCCAATCTGAAAATGGCATACCAGATTCTAGAAAACTGACGGAAAAGGTGTTTGATTAATTGTTGCAGTGGACCCATACGGCGGCCAACAGCAACAGCATTGGCAGCAGATGGCTCCGCCGCCGCCGGATCGAGTGGTGGCATCAATGCTAAAGCCGCCACCTGGGCCGCCAGCACCGGCGAGACAACCACCGCCACCTCAGCAGCCGGCTTACCTGAGCAGCAGCGGGGCGTCCAACTACTCCGGCTCCGAAACCCCACTCCCACCGCCTTCTCCTGGACTATCGTTGGGCTTCTCGAAGAGCATGTTTACATATGAAGAGCTAGCGAGGGCTACTGATGGGTTCTCAGAGGCTAACTTGCTTGGACAAGGTGGGTTTGGTTATGTTCACAGAGGAGTGCTTCCAAATGGCAAGGAAGTAGCTATCAAGCAGCTGAAGGCAGGGAGTGGCCAGGGGGAGAGGGAGTTTCAGGCGGAAGTGGAGATCATCAGCCGTGTTCATCATAAGCATCTGGTTTCGTTGGTTGGTTACTGCATTACTGGGTCTGAGAGATTGCTGGTTTATGAGTTTGTGCAGAATGATACATTGGAGTTCCATTTACACGGTATGCCAGAGGTTTGTGCTTAAGCTTCAGTTTAGGACATGTTAATGTTGTATCTGATGAGTGGAAATGGTGAATTGATGCAGCGAAAGGGCGACCTACAATGGAGTGGTCGAATAGGTTGAAGATTGCTTTGGGGTCTGCTAAAGGGCTTGCCTATCTTCATGAAGATTGTGAGTTGGCCAATATTGAATTGCAGAATCTGTTGCAGCAGTTCTTGGAGTGTGTTTTTCTTACATTATTGGCAATCTGTGTTTGGTTGTTATCAGGTCATCCGAAGATCATTCATCGTGATATTAAGGCAGCCAATATACTTTTGGATTTCAAGTTCGAGGCCAAGGTACTCTATGCAAGCAAAAGCTGTGTGCTTTCTGAATGAACATCATAAGCTTAATTGCTGAAATTGCTCAATATGCTAAGGCCTAAATTGTTTTCAGGTTGCTGATTTCGGATTAGCAAAGATTACATCTGATGTTAACACTCATGTCTCCACCAGGGTGATGGGAACTTTTGGGTAATGGTCTAAAGGAGGCTATCATTTCTAAATTGTAGATTATACTAGCCAGCTCTTCTAGGCTGAATTTGTTCATGCATTTGATCTCATTTTTACAGATACATGGCTCCCGAGTATGCTTCAAGTGGAAAGCTCTCCGACAAATCCGATGTGTTCTCCTTTGGAATAATGCTTCTAGAGCTGATTACAGGGCGCCGCCCTGTTGACACGACTCACACTTACATGGATGACAGTCTGGTGGACTGGGTGAGTTTGCTTGCTTGACTATCAAGTTCTTATCTACAAACCAGAGTTTCTACTCACTTCAAAATAGCTAATCAACTTCATTGTTTTATTGCTTCTGTAGGCTCGGCCCTTACTTTCACGAGCTCTAGAGGATGGAAATTACGAGTCTTTGGTCGATCAGAAACTCGTAGACTACAACCACAATGAGATGGCTCGAATGGTTGCCTGTGCTGCTGCCTGCGTTCGCCACTCTGCCAGGCGCCGCCCACGTATGAGCCAGGTAAATCATCAGGGTTCTCTTTTCACATGACACACTTCCAAAGGTTGAAACTTTCTCCGTGACTTGACATCAAACTCGATGAACATCCTCGTCCACAGGTAGTGCGAGCTCTAGAAGGAGACGTATCGCTAGCAGACCTCAACGAAGGGATAAAACCAGGGCACAGCCGAATGTATTCGTACGAAAGCTCAGATTATGACACGAGCCAGTACAATGAGGACATGAAGAAGTTCAGGAAGATGGCGCTTGGCAGCAAAGAGTATGGTGCGAGTGACGAGTACAGTGGCCCTCCCACGAGCGATTATGGGCTAAACCCTTCGGGATCAAGCAGCGAGGGGCAGACGACGAGGGAAATGGAGATGGGGAAGGTGAAGGGAAACAGTCAAGGGTTCAGTTGAAGCTCTTGAACAGTTGAACCCCTCCTCAGTCCTCGCACATCTCACTTTACTGTAAAGACACAGCCCCTTCTTTCCCTCCCCTGCTCTTTTGCTTGTATGGAATTTTTTTTGGGTTTGAATTGGCTCATTGGATGTCACATTGATTTCCCAGAATGACATGTGTTCTTCATCAACCAGCAGTCAGCACATGAGCAAAAATATTCTTTTTTCTTTTTCCCTTGTTTATCTGGTTTTTTCTTACTCCTTGATTTTCTACGGATGTATTTATTAGTAGCGAGTAAATACTGGAAAGAGAGGCCAAAATTGACAGTCTAGTAGAAGCTTTTGTTATGATTCTTTGATTCATTTGCTTGGTTACTTGAATTGAATGTGAATACATGCTGCATTGTGCATTTGATTTGGGTTCCTTGAACATGTTTCCCTTGTTTTAATTCGAATCCTCGATCAAGCCGGTACGATTAGATTACAGTATTATGTTCGTCTTACCGAGTAGATCTGCTGTCAGGTTTCGTAGTACAGGGTCATACCCCATGTTGGTGAGAGAGGCACGTTATATTACCATGTGTGAGCAGGACATGGCAACCATTGAGAATGAATGCAGTGCAAGGGATGAAACACAAGCTAAAAGCTTTATTTGGTGAGTGGTATTTGTTTGTTGAGTTTTGTTGGTTAGGCTTCAAAGTATTCGCAGTCAGAGGAGGGTGGAGCAGTGGTGGAAGGAAGAAGAAGATGACAGCTCATCTTTTTTGTTGGACCTGACTTTTTCTTTTTATGTCAGAGTGAGCTTTGCTACATAGATTCAGTCCAAATGGATAGAGGCTTTAGCTAGGCGCCCTTTAGAGTTTAGATCCTACTGCCAAATGGACGAGTATAAATAAAATACAACAGTCAATTCCATGGATGAAGAACATTTCTCATTTACTCCCCGGAAAGCTCAGTCTTACGCAGATCATTGTGTGTAGTAATCGAGTCAAAGAGAAATGTACAGTGAAGTCTATATAGAATGATGATTACAAACCTACCTTCCTTTCCTCTCTTCTACAACAACAAAAATGCTCCATCGTTCATTTTCCCGTGTACAATCAGTAGTAATGGAGAAACAAGTAAACCCAACCCGAAAACGAAAAGAAAAAACAAAATGATTGTGTGCTCTATAGATTTCCTAAGCGACCAGACCCAGATCCTCTCTTCCTCCTCCGGCGCCTCTGCCGAATCCTCCATATGCTCAAAAACAACAATACACCTGCACATCAGCACAAACAAGAAGGTTAGAATAAACCAATGCTCAGTCAACTAATGATAATCCGAGTATGAGAAAGATTCTAATAAATACTTCACAAACCTGTAATGGCTATTGCTGCAGGGACAAGCCAATGACTCGTGACAAGAACCGGCATATCAAGCTGTTTACAAAAGCAGCCAACAGATATAGGTTACCATGATTTCAGGACAATTGTGATGAAAAAGGCCATCAGAGTTCATATTCTTACCTCATTGCCATTGAGAATGCCCAAGAGATGATTCCCTTGTGTATCACCCTTGTTTCTTCTCTCGGTAACTTTTGGACGCTTATTGGATTGGTCGACGGTAGTGGAATTCAGACCTCTCCCTAGATCTATAATAGGGTAGCCTGGAAGTCTCCGGTTTCTTCCTCTAACGTGCAGGTTGTAACCTTTGGTACCCCAAACTTCAAATCTGGAGTCCCTCCTACAAATCAAATCCCGGCCCAGCACTGCAGAGTAGGAGGAGAAGTTTACATCTGTTCTACGCGACGGTAGCTGGTTGTCATCCACGTAGATGGCCATGTCTTGTTTCGCGGATTGGGAGAAGAGTAATGGATCTCGAGCATTTGCGCTGGTGAAATCTAGTAGTTTCTTGAGAAGCCAGTAGCAGTTGGTGACCATGTGGCTGCTGTCCAAACAGTTGGAGTCACCATAGACTGCAATTCGTCCTTTGCCTGCCTCAACAAGGCCTAGAATTGGAGAATCCGCCTGCATAGCATATTACAGCATAGTAAACCCATGAGTCCAAACACTATTTCACATTGCAAAGATCCTTTGTTTTCGGTCGAATTGCAGACAATTTCATTGATAATTTATTAGCTGATTGTGACAATATGTATGCAAATTGCTCCACTTGAGACAACGGATTAACGTGAGACTTGGGTGTCTTTTCAGCTTAAGGAAATAGACCCTTTAATTTCAGCAAATATGGAATTGATAAGAAGAAAATGTTAATGGAATTTCAGATTCTTTATACCTTGCCTGTTCCTGAATTTACCAGCACATTCTGAGTTGCACCACTCTCTGAGCTATCCAGGAACGGGAAACCATGCACATAGCCACCCAATGGAAACCTCACGATATCAGTTCCAGATGCATACCGACTTTGTTCTCCATCAATGGAGAAATCTCCGTTCAAAATCTTATCCCCAAAAGCAATCCCGAACGGGGCCAATAGATCATTCAATCCAGGAACATTCGCTCCTCCTGTAACAGGTGTCCACCAGCTTCGTGTATTATCATCAAAGAATCTCATCTTCACCATTGTATCCACATTATACCATTCAGCAAACACAGCTAATCCCAAACCATTGTTAATAACATCATCCCTCAACTTCTCGATCTCCTCTTTGAAGTACTCATCTTCGAGATCCACAAGAAGAAGCGTTCCATAATGGCGAGCATCAAAGCATGTGAAAGGAGAACCGAGTGTCTCAACATAGTATCCAGCATCTCTTAACATGTTAAACATGATGTGAAAATTTGTGTGGAGATGATCTCCATGCCAATCAAGAATATCATTCCGAACATCTAAAGAGTCTCTCGGAATATATCCCGGAGGGTATTTGATGTTGTGAAACTGGTCCCACAAAATCCGCTTCGACCTTGGTGGAGTTGGGACCACCTGCAGTTTCAAGTGAAGAACACATGTGCTTCTTCTTTGAGTCTTCTCACCAGGAGCTGGAGGGCTGTAGACAGTGAGAGTTACATTACCCTCAATTTCTCCAGAAAACTGGGCACCTTCTTCTTTGATTTGCATGTGAAGTGCAATGTAGCCAGTCCAAGGCCAGATGATTTCTGAATAGGTAAAGTGAATGCTTAATATATTTCCATTTTCATCTGAGGGATTCCATATGGGGGGCCTTTCAACATAGCCAATAACACCCATGCCATTTAGAATTGTGGCATTGAACATAACTGGCATTGCCCCAGCGTATAATGGTTGGCGGCAGAATGGCCACGAGTAAGGGCAATCTGAAAAATCAAGAATACCAGGGAAGATAGTCGCCCGAGGTTGATAACTCTTCAAGATTTCATAGGACTCCAACCTGAGAAAGAAGCCAAAGTTAACACGAATAGTTGCTCGTATAGTAAAGCAGGTAAGTGAATTGTCATGCAAAAGAGAACTTACAGATTTACTCTTCCTGCACCCTGCTCATATAGATTGGGACCAGAAAGCTTAGCAGCTCCTTCAACCAGTGCCTGTTTCATGCTTGCAGGATTAAGAATGGCCTTACGGTCACTCTCAGGGATCACACTAACAAGTAGGCAGACTACACCAGCAACCACAGGGCTGGCCACACTAGTCCCTGATAAGCTTTTACACCCTGAACTTATCTTTGATCCCATGATATCTTTTCCATATGCTACAACATCTGGCTTCACACGACCATATCTATCAACCAAAATTAGAAAAAGGAAGGTCAAGGTCTACTACCCAAAAAAAAAAAAAAAAAGAACATGGTACTTTACCCAACTATTTCTATAAAAGAAAAAAAGAAAAAGGAAAGAAGAGGCATAAATTGGAAGGTTAAGGTCCAAATGCCCTTGGGCAAGAATTCACACCCAAGAATGATCAAGTAGCTACATAGTAATAAGCTGATTTCCACACAATTGCAACAGCTGTTCATACTTGAAAAGAAGGAATAGGTCAGGACTTCTGCTACCTTTCACGGCTAACTAATGAAGTTTCAAGACAGAGCTGAAAAGTATAATAGACAGAAAATGATCAAGGTCCACAGATATCTTTCCTCTACTCTACCTCCATCTAAAAACAATATCAGAAGAAAGTCGGAGCTTGCAATGCATCTATGGGCAAACTCATGAATATTTGGGTAATATGGTGAGTCTACAAATGCAGCAAAACGTTAATACTTGAATCATCTGAAACAAGGAGCAGACAAAAGAACAGCGCAGCATTCAAGTCTTCTACCAACAGGAGCTTTCGTCAGCCATACGCTATAACACAAAGCTGTTTACAATAGTAAATAGATTACCCATGAGGAATCTCCCAAGTGCTCATGCCACGTGATGAAAATGGGGCAATATGATCATTGTAATCTATTCCACCAACGCCAATGACATCACTTTGGTCTGCTGGATTGTTTAAGGTACCATAAAGAGGCCCATCATTTCCAATAGCCGAAACCATAATGATGTTATTGGCTGTTATCTCCCATATCTGATGGTCAAGAAACAAAGGAACACTGGGATCAAGGAAAACAGCCTATAAGACTAATACTAGAGATTTCCGTACGAAAACACAAAGAAGAAAACACTAATGATAGCAATACTAGAATACATGCAAATAGAATTGCAAGACACTCCACGACTGAATTTCAAATGATAAAGAACATGATGATTGACAGGGAGGTTGTTGTCTAATGAAACTGGGTGTATGTGCGCAGCAGTTGTTCTCTCCTAAATATTTAAATAACTGCTTATACAAGAGTTATCAAACGTCTAAAATAAGTCTTACCTTCTCAACGAAAGGGAGGTCCAGGAAATCAGGGCCACCAATGCTCAAGTTTAGAACATCCATTTTTGTTGCAATAGCGTAGTTAAATGCGTCAAGAAACCATGATGTATAAGATACCTACAATAGGCTGAATACAAAATTCTCATAATCTTGGTAAGTTTAACCACTCAACCAAATTGCAAAAAGTAAAAACAATTTGAGTATTCACCAAAACATATACAACATTCTACCAAGTACTTCATGCAATCATTAATCTAAACGTTAAAAATTGACTCTACTGTCCAATGAGAATCCAGAAGCAACTTTTGGAACCTAAAATGCTGTTGGCTTTTGTCCTCCATGCATCAACTCAATAAGTATTTCATACCTTGACGAACCAAAACGATAGGCCACCATAATCTTCTCAAGACCAGTAAATTTGTAAACCAAAACATACTTCTAGCTCATAATTACCTGAGCATCTGTGAATACACGGAATGCATAAATCTCAGCATCAGGGGCAAAACCAAGACATTCATCATCTTGACCAGCAATAACACCCGCAACAAAAGTCCCATGTCCCAGATTGTCATTTAGAGTATCCTCACTTGTCCAGTTAGTACGCTCCTGAGACAGTATACAAAATAAAATGCACATCAAGGTTTCGCCTTCTCCACAAAAACCAAATTCTGAAGAATGTAGCCTTTGACTGAAGTAAAAGAGAAATAGAAACGTTAAATGAAAAACATAGCTCCTCACAATTTAATACCTTGATGTTACGGAAATGTGGGTGATCAGATCGAATTCCAGTGTCAAAAATAGCCATCTTCACCTTAGCACCAGTATAACCCTTCGACCACAGAACATCAGCTCTGAATAACGAAGTCACCTGTGACTTCTGCTGCAGAAAAAGAAACTTGACATAAAACGCGTTTGGCAATGCTTTTTCTAGCTCATACCAAGGGAACCCACCAATTGGACAGAAATGGAAACGAAGACTGTAATTTGTAAAGTTGATCAACAAGCAGATTAATGCAACAAAATCACTCCATTGCCAACAAGTGTACCATCAGATAACTACTGCTCCTAAGAAATCTACCAGCTATCTTATGAAATCAAGTTTGACTTCGAAATTTCACAGTGTAGTTTCAAACTGACGGGCAGCAGACATAAATACAAATCGACAAAATCACATCAAACCGCATCTAATCTCCATTCAACTGCAAGCAATGGGACCAAGGGAATTACAAACTCCGGAAGTTCAACCGAATCAGAAAGCACCAAGAACAACATTTACTGATTGATTCATTCAGTACTCTACTTTTATCAATTTGCCTCTCATATGACAAGAACTCACCTGTGCTAGCAGCTCCCTTCCCCAATGAATAGAAGAATTACTTGTTTCGGCCACCGCGTGACGCGGCTCCTCCTCTTCACTGAAAGACATGGAAGTGAATATCTTCCCAGGCCGTTTCCTCCCATCGGAAAACGAACCACCACCACGACCTCCACCGCCGCTGCCGGAAACACCAAGCAATTCCCTCTTATAACTGACATCCACATTCACATCCTTGACCATTTCCAACTTCTCAATCTCCGCCACCACTCTCTCCACCACAGTTGCCTCCACAGCCACCAGCCCAAAGTCCGTCGCGAACTTCATCGCCGGATTCCTCCTCTCGATCCATTCCCACCCTCCCCCCAATCCAAGCTCCGATTCTAAGTACCGCCGGTGGTCCTCCGCCTTCCTGTACTCCTTGAATCGCACTATGTAGTTGTTGTTCCGCACGGTCTCGTTCTTCCCGCCTTCGGAAACTAGGGTTAGGGTTTCCTTCCGAGGAAATAGAGCGAAAAACCGAAATAGGAAGATTGAAATGACGGCCGCGAAGACCGATGATTTCAACGGGGAACCCGAGCAAGTTCTCCGACGAGCGGCCATGACTACGAAGCCCGGTTCTTCGTTGCTGCTGCGGCTGTCGGAGGTCGTTTGGTTTGGCGGGAAACCCCACACATGGAGAAATGGAAATTTCAGAAACTATCGCTCTTTCCCGTTATGACGAGCGTTGATCTGTTGCTTCTTCTTCTCCTTCTTCTCCTCCAGTCTGAAAGCTTTTCTCTTTCCTTCTCTGTCTGGAAAAAAATTTCGATCTCTTCCACGTTGCAGTATGGAGATTGGAGAGGTACCTCTACCTACCCAAACTAATCTTAAACTCTCTATAGGTACCATTATTTTTGGAGATTACATTTCTTACCCCATAAAAGATTGAGATTTCAAACACGCCCTCTTTCTTCGTTACCGGCAGAACGACGCCGCCGGTAAAAACTAAAAAGGCCGCAGCCATAGGAGGGAGCGGAAGTGGATGATTGATGGCGGGAGCACAAAGCAGGGCGACGGCCGGCGTTATGGTTAGGCTTCCGGTTCCGTTACTGAAGCAACAGAAGTTGTATTTCGCGGGATTGAATTACGTTTTCCGCATCCCAGTGGCGGGTTCGAGTGCATCTTCGAGTGGGTTGTATAGATGTGGAAGTTGTGCGGCCGAGGAACGAGTCTCGGTGGACATGGGAAAGTACAAGGAGGGTTTTGCAAGGAGAATGGCTATGGCCGGACTCCAACCTTACCATTCTATCGGTGAGTTTTCTTTTACCTTTCCTGATAACATTGTTTTGTCACAATGTTGGTGAATTTGGTTCAATTGTCAATTTCTGTGGGTGAAGAAGTGGAAAGCCATCATCTTTTGGTTGTTCTGGAGGTGGGATTTGCAGAATTTCTGGTCTTGATTGAAGCTTTCATCCCTTCTTTTCTTTGTTCTGGAGTTATGTGGTAGTTAAGTTTTGAAGTTTGGTTAGAGAGAGTTGTGTGATTTTGCTGCAGCTGTAGGAGTATCAGGTGGGCCTGACAGCATGGCATTGTGTTTCCTAACGGCTGCTTGGAAAACTGATGATCCTAATGCTGCTGGGAAGAGTGATGGTTATGTTGATGGACTTTTGGCCATAATTGTTGATCATGGCCTACGTGCAGAGAGCAAAGAGGAGGCACACATTGTTTCTCGACGAGTTTCTAAAATGGCTACATTTTGGTTTCTTTTACGTTTCGTGATCATGTCTAGGCGCTTTTTTGTTTTTTGTTTCGTGATGGCTTAGCGTGAACATTTGTTAGGAATCAGATGTGAGATTGCAGAGTGTAATTGGTAGAATGGAAGACCGTCACTTGCAAGAAGCAGCACGGGATATGAGGTTTTTCTCAAACTTTCTTCAAGAGTCGAGCTGTGAATACCTCTTGTATACAGCTGGCCTAGGAGTTAATCACATTGATTTGCTCTGTTTCCTATCCTAATCTGCATTCCAGGTATCAAAATTTTCAGAAAGTTTGAATTCACCATCAAATTGGTGTGCTACTTATTGCTCATCATGCAGACGATCAGGTTTGAGTGATGATCTTCTCATGTGTATCCCAGTCTTTACTTTTTCGCTGATTAGAATGTTGAAAATGAAGGTTTGCTTGGAAAACAATTTTGCAGGCGGAGCTACTGATTCTTCGACTTTCACGCGGTAGTGGTGTACTTGGACTTGCAGGCATGGCATTTACTTCTCAGTTGTTCTCGACATGTACAGTTTTGCATAAAGGTTCGGACAATAAAGGCCTACTTCTAGTGCGTCCACTCTTGCATTTTTCTAAAGAAGATATGTACAAGGTCAGCGCATATCGAGATGCACTTTTAGAAAAAAGAGAGATTCTCATGTCTTAAAAGAAAATTATCTTTGCATATAAAAGCAATCCATTGATACTACATGTGGAAAAGCCCTGTACCTGAAACATATCCTTTTTTTTTTCCAGATATGTCAAGCAAGTAATCTAGACTGGGTGGAGGACCCAACAAATCGAAGTGCAGCATATGCTCGAAATAGGATCAGAATGTCACTGGGAAATTTTTCATCATGTGAGATCGCTAGCCATTGTTTTTAATACAGATGAAGATGTTCTTTTTTTAACTTAAAAGAACCTAATCCTTCCGTTTCAAATGCTGTTGATTGGAATTGTGATTTGTGTCATCTAATTTTCCAGCTGTTTTCCAGACTGAGGTACAAGCGCTAATATCTGCATGTCGAAAAACACGTGCATATGTTGACCACATTTCCAATGATTTGATAAATCAGGCTGTGACCATTATGGATGTAAGAACAGTTTCATGCTGAATATGAGAATCTTTTTTAAAACACCATCCTTATCATGATACTTATGGTTTTTTCCTTGTTTGTTAATGTCATTGGAGTCCCCATTTTGTGGCCCATCAGCAAGGTTATGCTGTTATTGATTTGATGATTTTTTTTATAATGGTGATGATTGTATTGAAACAGAAAGACGAACAAAACAAACCGTCAACAACGGGACTGTACAAAACAAAAACAAAAACAAAAAACCACCAGTTCACAAGCATTGATCTAGCTACAAACAGGGGGAGGGGTTGCTGCTAGATGGACCTGGCCATCCCTGCAGCGATCAAACAAACAGAAACCTACAGGGGATGAAACCCAACAACAGGTTTCCAACAAAAGAGAAAGGCACGACATTGTTTTCAATGGAGCAAAGGAAAGATAAGGGGAAATGATGTTATCGGGAATACGGACTGGCGGGGGACTGGAAATGGGACCAGTCAGCAGGGCTAGAGTCATCAAAACACACTGGGTGATAGAAACCATAGTTCCATCAAAAGTTCCAGATATGTGCCTTTCAAAGTTTCTTGCCTTGGTTTTGCAGGTAACTCACATTTCGATTGTCTTCTTGGATATGTTATTAATCTTTAGTTTAAAATTGCCTAGTTATGTTACTGGCTAATAGTAATTTGTCATCGTTTCTCAAAGGTACAGAACTGTTAGAGGTGCCACTATTAAAGTATTATTATTGGATTACGTTTGTACTTTCCCATTTAAGGCAAGTTTAGTAGTCTTACTTTGTCGTTGCAATTATCTTTTGTCTATTCTTGTCAGAATTATGCATTTCATTGTCTTTCTGATGAACTTTGACACTCCTGCAGACGTCTTTTACAGTAGCTGGATGTTATCTCTGCCCTTCTCCTGGATCTAGGGGAACAAAACTCTTAGTTTGCTGTTCTGTTGATTGTCCTCCGCATTCGAAAATTGAAGTGAATTGTCCAGACTTTGATAGAGAAACAGAAGCAGTACCTTCCTAACAAGTTGGATGAAATTATAGCCAAAGGAAAACCTTATATGGATCAGTTTGTACCAGATGCAGTTGGTGTGAAATTCATGGACATAACATGCCAATCAGTCGTAACAGAAGCTGAAAGACTGGGTATCATCAGCGAGTCGACTCAGAGAAATATAACCTTACTGGAGAGGAATGAAACAAAGCATTTCAAGCCTGAGAATAAGGTTCACTTGAAGCATGAGAGCGCAGAGAATCCCCACACCTCGGCATCTGAAAGTAGGCTACTTCACCCGGGCCAAGCATGTTACTTTATGAACAGATTCTTAGTCACTTGGAATGAAAGACCGCTTAGTTATTGCTCGTCTTTGGTAATTGATCATCGAAGAACTGCTGAAATACGCCATATGGCTGAGTCCGATTGGTTGTATCTGGCTAAATTGATTAAGTGCAAAAATTGGGAAGATTTTCTGCCAGAAATAACTGATGAAAACATTGAAGTAGACCAGGTAGCAGAAAAGAGACACCGGTGTTTAGCATACATGCAGTTATCAGCAGAAAATTCTCTTCAATGTTTGAGGTCGATCCCAGTTGCTGCCAGAAGCAGCCTGCCTGTCTTAGTAAATAGTGAAGGATTCGTACTGAGCATACCGGTATTTTCACGTCTCTGAAATTATGATGATCTATTTATAAGTCTTGCTAACAAATTGTTCATGGTTTACATATATGTCCATTAAACCTCGTGATCCTTCCCTCATTCATGATTGGTTTTTTCCTCTTGCAGAGCATTGGATTCCAGTGTTGCCCTTGTTTGATTGTGTCCTGTGCATTCAAGCCAAGAATGCCACTAGGGGGAGGTCACTCTTCATTTTTGTAGTTTATGCAGCTTAAGGCAGTGCACATGTATAATAGAGGCCTTCAATTTTTGTGTTTGTTGTTGCTCATTTCTATCATCTTCAGATTAGAAATAGTAAATAGAATGATTGAACCACAAATTCTTAGCTTCAACTTGAGCATGAACAAATTGTTCTCTACATTATGCAGTTAGGAACATCAATAGTAACCCTGTCAAATCACAGGATTCACTCTGATTCTTGCATTAAAGTTGGGGAACGAATTATTACAGTTGATACAAAATCATACAATAGGAGCAACTAATTCAATTCCCAAATCCAATCTTCAACAAGCCTATCCTGCTAACTCTCCTCATGTTACAGCTATGAGTGAGATTCAAAGAGTAACACAGTCAAAAATGAAAAGAAGTTGAGACAGGAAAAGAGAAGAGAATATCATGATTATCATAATCTGCCTTGCCCTCCTTTCTCTTTCAAAATCTGGACCGATTTGAACCACTGTTTCCATGGAGCATCTTTTTGTTGCTCGACCCACGACAAGAAAGCGCTGTCTATCAAGCAAAAGAAATTGACATAGAGAAGTTGGTACTGTACTGGTACATATCTGAAGTTAGCCACTTGAACCAGTGGCCAAATACCGCCTTCCAAGGCCAGCGATGGAAGGAAGTCCCTCTTCACGTCTTCTTTCACTTGAGCAGCATTCTTCCCAGTAGAAAATCCCATGTAGGTGAAAAATACTAGCAGATCCAAGGGCCCAAAGATTATGCTGTCAGCTGCCACTTTAGCAGCCACAAACCGAGCTGATTTTGGTGTTAGTTTAAGTCTCAACCTGATAAACTTGTCCAAGTTCTCATACCTAAAGAAATACGACTTTAGTTAAGTTAAGAACTGATCAAAGAATATAGCTTCAACTTGCTGCTTAAAGTACATCTAAATGATTGCAGAGAAAGATGAAGAGGCAAACCAGAAATGGCCAACTGGACCGACAAATCCAAGGCCAAATGCACTGGTAATAGCTACGCGCTTCCAATTTATCCTGAATTCAGCCTCTTTATCCTGCCACATGAAATACGGTTACTCATCTTCCTGGAGTTTAGAAACTATCTTTGGTGCAGATAACAGCTTCAGAGGAATACATGGGATTTAATGATTCTAAGCCACAATATGAAGATGTTACAATAAAGATTAGGCAAAACTGTTTGACAAACAATATCCAGTCTCACGATTAGTTTAAACCACATCCGAAGAGCTCGTGGATTATTGGGAACCATGCTGGAACGAAATAATGGAGCTCAGAGTGTAAACGGACACGACACAACTAAGTTAGGTCAAAAGAAGAAACTACACGCATGATTTGATTCACCTTAATAACGTCCCAGGGCATGTTTATCCCAGAAACAAAGCTAAAACTCCAAAAGTATATAGACAACATGATTTCTGATTGTTGATCAAACAGCTTCTTAATACGAAATACATACGAACGGCACCATGTTCTGCTGCAATTTGCAGCTACCAGACCATGAGTTGCAATCATGCCAACGCCATTGCAGCAACAGAAGATTGCAGAAATTAACAAGTAAGACCTGTTTGGAAGAACTCCGAATTCTAATCACCTTCAGTCCTATAGCAACACTGGAATCGAGTTACCCAGCAAAAACAGTTTTCATCTAGGAAAAGAAAACAGTAAGAGATGCAACGTAGACCTTTCCAGCTTTCCAATTTTAAGGGCCACGACGGAAAGCCACCAAAAGCTTAAACGTCGAGAACAGTGAGACACGTCTATTGAACAGAACCAAAAGCATTCAAACCCACTAAAGATGGTATCTCGAGTTGGTCACAAACCCCAATCCAGCGCGGCGGCGGCGCCACAAATGTCCCCAGCAACCACAGCAAAGAACCGAATGGAAAGGACGAAACTTGTTGAAACCCAGTTCACAGAACAAGCAATTGAACCGAATCCGAAACAATCAATGATTCCCAGATAGCTAATTATGAAATGCGAACAAGAAAAAGAAAGAAGAAAAGAGGGTTTACTTACGGTACACTGAAGACGCTTAATGGCAGTGGAGTGAGTGACGTATTGCGCACCAATATCGCCGGCGCCCCAAAGGAAACCGGAGCTGATGACCTGGGTCTTCAACGGATGAGAGGTTAGGCAGTTGCGATACCAGCCCCATAGCTTCAAGAACATTTCTTTCGTATTGGTGAAGAACGGGAAGGGAAGGAAAAGGAAGAACCTTCGCCGACGAGGAAATAATCCTTATTTATACTGCGAGAGAACTTGTAAATAGTCATCAAACTATGGTGTTTATGACAATACGATCAGTGTACTTTAAAATATTATAAATGAGTCACCAACTTCTTCACTTTGTTACAGAATAGTCATTCACCCTGTTTTTTGGAACGTGTTATCTTTGCTAACTAGGGATGGCAATCAAACCCATAGCCGCGGGTACCCGACCGCCCCCGACCCAGTCAACGCGGGTAATCCTTGCTTTGACCGGGTATGGGGCGGGTATGGGTAAAACCCGCAAAAAGTATGATGGGTATGGGGCGGGTATGGCTTTAGCCTCCCCTGCCCCATACCCATACCCATATCCGCCCCACCAAGAAAATTTCTTCACATATACAAAAATATGTGCATCAAATTGTAATCTATCAATGATGAGAATAACTTGAGGAAATAAATAGTAGAAATGCAATTGAGTGGCCGTCTTAATCAAAACCTAATTCATTTCCCTCAATTCTCCTTTCACTCTTTCACTTTCCCTCTTGTCAACAAGATTATGTTAGTTAATTATTACTTAGGGGTCGTCTGGAAATTGCGATTGTATGTATTGTTTTGTGTGGGTCCCACCAACAATCAACAAAAATGAGGGATTGTACAATCTCAACTAAAAGTTGAGATTGTTGTGATTGTTGGTTTAATAATTGAGCACCTCTACCTTTTCCAATAATGTCCATAGTTCTTTTTGTTTTATATTAAAAGTGGAGGACAAATATGACATTTCCTTATAAAGTAACTTTATAACAATCAATTCATAATTATAATCTCAACAACCAAACAATGTAATTTCAAAATGTATCTATTGTATCAATGCATGCATTTATATCATAGTGATTCGTAACAATACAACGATTTAACATACGCAACTTCCAAACGACCCCTTAGTAGATGTATCAGAGTTAGAACATAATAATTTGAAAAATATTACACTATATATTATGTATTAACGAATGTTTTAGGATCATATTCTTTGAACCGCATTAAGAAAATGATCGTGTTTTGTTGAATTCGTGATATAATAGGTACGTTTAGAGTTGTAGTTAAAACTTTCCTTGTAAATTTTAGGATAATAATGTTGGATGTACGGGTACGGGTATTACCCATGGGTACCCGAAATCCACGGGTATGGGGATGGGTTTGCCAAACATTCCCCCGCATGGGTATGGGGCGGATATGGGTTTGAATATTTGAAGATGGGGATGGGGATGGTTTAGACAAACCCGCTCCAAACCCGCCCCATTGCCATCCCTATTGCTAACCCAGTGTGGGGGTAGGGGTCAACAAACACGTACCTGCAAATCGATCCATCTGTCCAACCCGACTCAACTCACCCGTATTTATCGTTAAAAGTTTTAAAACTAAAGTTTAGGGTTGGGTGAGGGTTTTCTTTTATACAACCCGTCTCTTTTGGGTTGAGTTTGGATTTTGGATTACACAACCCGTAGAACCCGACACAACCCGTGTTCCAACTATTAGTATGATTCGTATCCAAAAAATATTTATGTCGTATGTAACTTATGAGAAAATCAAGATACTTCACCATGTTTTTCACTAGTGGTATCCCAATCTAATGCATTCTTCGGTTTAAAGAATAGACATAGATTTAATATATCTATGGTTCACGTAATCCTTTTTCTTGTGTACAATTTTAATAAAATAACATATTATAGATCCATTCGTTTATAACCTCTTTAGCATATTTCGACAAATGTCGTAAAAAAAACTAGACATAAGTTGAAGTAAATCACAGTTCATTAAAATTCAAACAACATTTATGCATTTGGATACCTTTCACCTCGGTTCATTCATTTGAAATTTTAATTAGTTATAAAATATATTTATGGTGTAGAATAATTATATATTTTGTGTTGGGTTGAGTTTTTACTTAAAATATCGCCAACCCAACCCAATTAGAAACAAACAGTAGGGTTTTAATTTTTTTGAGTGAGTTTGGATCTAATATTTTCAAACCGTAGTGCATGAGTCGAGTGATTAAAATGGTTAAACCCGAACCACCCGACTCATATACACCCCTAATTGAGGGTTTAGCACCGTATTAACCCTTCTATAGTCGAGGGGTGCATTTGATATTTTTTAGGCTATAAACTAAAAAATGGGATATATATCCTACCATCTTTGTCACCCTAGTCTCTCTCTCACTCAATCTCGTGTGATTTTCATAATGTAATAAAACAAACACTCTTTTTCAGCCTCCAATTCATCTAATCAAAGATTACCAATGACAAAAAATTAAGGCATCACTAGGGCTGCAAATGAGCCAAGCCGCTCGCGAGCAACTCGGCGTTCGAATCGGAAAAAACTAGTTCGACACTCGACTCGTTGTTTAACAAGCCAGCTCGCGAGCCGGCTCGTTAGTAAACGAGCCAAGCTTGAGCTATGCCATGCTCGGCTTGATAAGCTCGTGAGCTAGCTTGACTCGGTGGCTTGTTGAGCTAAGCTCGCGAGCTGGCTTGTTTAAAGCTTGTGGAAAGATTAATTACTCTTCTGAACATGAAACTCGGCGGAGATAGAATCTCTTTTTCCTTTTCCCTCAGCAGCCCGGCCACTCCGGATTCATTCCTCTCAACAAAGAAAGTATCGCACATCTTATGAAATCTATTACCTCTAGCTCTAGTAGCGGGTTATATGCCATCCCTGGCTGGTGAATCATTTCTCTTATCCTTTCTCATTCCCTTCCCCACTTCCCTTAGCCGAACTCCCTGCTCTTTTCCCGTTGTTCTTGCTCTTTCCGCTTACTTTCAAGGTAGGTAGCAGCTTTGTAAGGTAGTTTTCCATATCCGTTAACATCTCTAAGCCAGACAGAGAGAGCGGAGGAGAGGACTGATTGAATGAATGTCATTTCACGCTGATAGGAATGGGGTTATCCCCGTATATTCTATTTCTCCTGTCTTATTGATCAATGGTGTGCCATGAGATGCTTCGCCCGGAGGCGCATTCATGGTGAAGATCTCAAGACTCTCGGCGAAGCTCTCAAAATCTCTGTCAGAAGCGGACGAAAGCGACGTATACTGCGTGTTAGCATTCGCAAAAGCACTGTCCCTTTTTATGTCCTCTAATATTTTAGACACTTGCTCAATACCTGTGCTTATGTCTTTCAGCCCAGCAAAAGGATTGATCTTATCAGCAACTGTGTCTCGATCGGGTGCAATGGGTTCGATTGAGGATGATTTTAAATTAAGCTCTGCCATTGTATGTCCCCATCATTTGCCCCAGACATTATACAACTGATTTCAAAAGCTTATTCCTTTCCGTCACGAATCTCGATTTCCATTGGTACTCTACCCTTAAAAATAACCATAGCTGATGCAGTTCTTTTTATCATTTTTAATTTCTAATGTTCTTATTTGTACACATTTTTCAGCAAGAATGGTTTCAAATCGAGCTTATCTTGAGCCGAGCTTGTACTCAGCTTGACAAGCTGTGTTAATGAGCATTTACCGAGCTATATCGAGCCGAGCTCGAGTTGGATTATTTTTAATCGAGTCGAGCTCGAGCTCGAGCTGGATTATCAAAATTCGAGTTCGAGCCGAGCTCGAGCTAAAAAATTTATAAACGAGCCGAGCTCAAGCTAAGCAAAAACTTGACTCGACTCGGCTCGTTTGCAGCCCTAGCATCACTATCTCATCTTTTCTTCTTGTCTCCGCCTTAGTTTAAGGCAAACTCAAGATCTTACTTAGTATCGCAGCCCAAATGAGAACATGTGATGAATCCATTCAATAGAGCCTTTTTGAATATATTCAACACAAAAGATTTTGATTGAATCGATTTAATGAAGATTTTGATTAGTTTTGATTAGAATGTCTCACCTCAACTTACCATCACCGAGGCTTTCAATCATGGAATAAACCCTACAAGGCACAAGCCTACAACATATATAGATGTATTTGGTGTATTCTTTTTTTTTTTGTGCATTTTTATGTACCCATAATCGTTATTCTGAGCTGATGATTCATGTTAAAACAAAGTCAATCGTCACTTGTGAAATGATGGACAAGAAAATGCATGAAATTGCAAAAAAAATCATTCAAAATTTACTTTTATTTGAAGAATTTAGGGATTTAAGGTTTAAGGCTTACAATTTGGAGGTTGGTGTTTGGATTCAGAAATGAAGGTTTAGAACTCATGGTGATGAATTGTTAGTTGTGATGATATATGTTATACCTTGAATAATGCTACTAATTAAAAATCAAAATTTGATGTCTTAAGATTATATTTAGACATGGATGCATAGAATTAGGGTTGTTAGTAGGTTTGGTTCGATTATAATCATAACTGTTTAGTCAGTTATCGGTTGCTTGTTAAGCAATTTGTGCTTACCGTTAACTATACTGTTTATATTAGTCGTTTAATCGTAACTGTATAGTCGGTTGTCGTTATTTGTCAGTTACCTGACTAACAGTCAAACAAGTGATTCAACAAGGTTATACTAAAATAACCGAGCGGTAACCTAACCAACAGAAGACCTCCTACTTTTTCAAATTGTGCATTTTTGTAGATTTTTTTCTAAAATACCTATGTATTCTTTTTTTAAAGTGTTAGCATTGAATAAAAAATAATTTAACATAGATATCAATCCATAATCAACTCAATCAAACACAAGTACACAATATTACCATTCTATTGTCAAATTTGATTACAGAAGCATACACAAATAAGAAACCCAACAACAATTACTTAACCAAAATGAGATTTTTTCATTATGGTTATGTTATGTTGGTTATTCCTATTAACCAATTAAGCTGTGATTTGATCAATTCGGTTGTTGTGTTAATTTGACTGGTTTATTTAAGATATTTTCCATGGTCAATACAATTTAGTATTAAATGATTTGATAATAACCATAGTAATCCAAGGGGTCGTTTGGAAGTTGTGATTGTTTGAGTTGTGTTTGTTGAATACATGTATTATGCACAATAC